GGCGCATAGACATGAATACAAAGGAAAGTCCCTGTTTTGGGGGTGCTGACATTCTCATGGTCCCCAAGAGAAATTCTGGTGCTGGAGAAGGAATGTGGGCACCTGGGATCAAAGACAGAGTAGAAGCCAGCTCCAGAAAAGGAATGCAGATGCCCTGACCTTCATCTGGCTGGGTCCCCTTCCTTTCCTCAAAGATGCCATCGTGGAAGTTAGCAGGCTATCCACGCGGACAGACCTGCGTCCCATCTCCCGTCTCTGCCCCCTGGCATCATGCTCACCCATCGATGACTAGTGGGTGTCCTCCCTTCACCAGCCTGCTGTGGGGTCCGCCTGAATGGGCACAGTAAAAATGGTGCAGGGTGGGGCCTGGCATCTGTCAGTCATGATGTTACCCTGCGTGCCCATGAATCTTTCCAGAGCCTACAAGGGTTCTGTGAAGAAAAGCAGAGAGGTGCTGGGCCAGACAGAGATGGGGGAGCAGGGAGAGGGTGCGAGGACCCCTCCACCCCCACCACTACCTGCATGGTATACTCAGACAAACACCTTAGTGGGGGGAAAGATTTGCCAGTGTCTCCCAATCTGGGTGATCTAGACATACTCCCAATTTTCTGCTTGAAGTTATGGAGAAGTTGGGGGTTCTTTGTGCTGGAAGGGGTTTCAGAACCCATCGGCCAAGTGACCTGAACAGGAGGCAGCTGCGTGGCAGGCAGAGTGGGACAAGGGACAAAGTTAGATCCAAGTGTCACCGCTTCTGGTCTGCATAACCTTGGGCAAGTTATGTAAGCCTTCCAAGACTCGATTTCCTCATCTGGAAAGTGGGGAGAGCGTAAGTCAGACATTAAAGTCTATGCAAGGATCAGTGTCAGTGGCCTGGCGTGGGCAAGGACTGCACCAGAGAGCAGAGCACATTAGGGAAAGCTGGGTTTGAAACCTGTTCAGGAGCCAGGTGACCTTGAACACGGGGCTCCACTCCTCTTTAGAAACGAGATTGTAAGTCCTGCCCACTGGGTTATCTTGATAACTGGAAATAATATAGCCAAGGACCTGGTGACAAGTTTGGCCCATAGCGGATGCATAATAGACCGTGGTCTCTGTTATCACCCTGGGTCCTTGTAAATCTATTTTAAATAAAGTCTAACCTAGCCTCTAAGAGAGTGCCAGACTCTTAGGAGGCATTTGATAAGTATTTGTTGAGTGAAGAGCTACATAAATGGATTTGAACTCTATCTGTAAGCGAACGGCACTGAAGGAATGGCTCAGCCATCCACTCCAAACACAGTGCAACCCTACACCCAGTCCCGGGGGCTCAGGGAGAGGCCCTGATGCCAATGCCTCCTCCCAAAATGATGTCATCACAATCTCCTGGAGGAAGGGCATATATCCAGGCCAGTTGCTGGGGCCCAGGTGCCAGAGGGCATTGGGCAACCCCAACACAGCCTTGCTTCCTCCACTGAGCAGCCCCACCAGTGATTCCGCTTTTCTGCGGGGAGAGGGGCCCCTTCCTGTGGCGTTTCTGGCCTAGGCTTTGAGCCAGCTGCCCTCATGTACCAGACAGTTTGCTTCCCAAACTTCCCAAGGTCAATGCCTTCCATGAGGTAACAACCAGGCTGGGTTCTGAGGGATCCTTGCAGGAAGTTGTCTCAGGGGCCCTGCCCTGGGTCCAGTGCTGGGCTGGGTGCCAGAGAACAACACTCTGGTCTTCAGCCACAGTGTTTAGTGAGCACCTACTAGGAGTCAGGAGCTTTTCTAGGCACCGGAGGTGCAACTGAAACCTAGAGAAGCCCTGCCCTCATGGTTGATTCGGGGACAGACATTTAAACACACACACATAATGATAAGCTGTAACAAATTTCAGGAAAAAAACAAAATGCCCTGTAAGGGAATAAAGAGGAGCAAAGATCAACCCATGAAGTTCCTGCAAAATAGCCACAGCCATGGACACAATTTGTTGTTTTTTTTAATATTTTATTTATTTGTTTGAGAGAGCGAGAGAGAGAGGGCAGGCGGAGGGGTAGAGGGAGAGGGAGGAAGAATCCCAAGCAGACCCTGCGCTGAGCATGGAGCCCAACGCGGGGCTCGATCCCACGACCCTGAGATCATGACCTGAGCTGAAACCAAGAGTCAGATGCCTAACTGACTGATTCACCCAGGTGCCCAGACATGGAGGCAATTTATGCATCGAAACGTGGTTTATATACCAGAAATCCGCAAACAGCCTCTGCGTCCAACAGTGCTGCGGACTGAATCGTGGCTCCCCCCAAATTCCTAAGTTGAAGCCCTAACCCCCCAATGTGGTTTTTGGAGAGGGGGTCACGGTAGGTAATCCGTTGTGAGGGTGGGCTTCCCTAAAGAGACACCAGAGAACTAGCTCTGTCCGTGTCTCTCTCTCCTCTCTCCCCCCGTCATGCCAGAGCACAGCAAGAAGACAGCCATCTGCAAGCCAGGAGGAGGGTCCCCCCCAGAACACCACCGCGCTGGCACTATGATCCAGGACTCCCAGCCTCCAGAACTGTGAGAAAATACATTTCTGTTGTTTAAGCCCCCAACCTAGGCTGTTTTGTGATGCAGCCGAACTCTGACGGGGAGCAGCAGGGCAGTGATGCACCTGGAGCTGCTGGGGCGGGCGGTGCCCGTGCTCCCTGCAGGTCTGTCTGCCCTCGGCCCCCCTGCCAATTGCAGAGCCTTTCGTCCCTGCCCTGCCACACCAGAGCCCGTGAGTCTGCAAAAAGGCTTTGCTTCCAAAGGACGGCTGCTTTCCCTGTGTGCGGGCGTGCAGGCGTGGGTGTTTGACGAGGCGTCACCCTGTGAAATAGCAAACAGCAGGAATGCACCTCTCTTGCGTCCCTTCCTGCAGGTGGCTCCTCTCGGTCTCGGGTGGAGGATCCCGGGGCTTCTCCTTTGTCTGTCCACGCTCATTCCCCAGAGAAGCTCTAGATGTTGACATCCCACAGATTTATCATTCCCAGCCTGATCCTCTCAAACCCCAGAATCATGTGTCCAACCAACAGCCTACAGGGCGTCCCCACACAGACTCGAATAGACAGCTCACATTCAGCATGGCCAGGACCAAACTCCTGATAGCCATACCGCCTGCAGCCATTCCCCGCCCCCCCAGTCCTCCCTCTCAGTTGGTGCCAGCTCCGTTCCTCCAGGGGCTCAGGCCCTCCCTGGACCTTGGAGAACTCCTTGATTCCTCGCTTTTGCTGATGCCCCCCCATCCGGCCCACCTGCAAATCCTATTGGCTGTACTGTCAGGGTATGTCCAGAACCTAACTGCTTCTCCCGTCCTCCACGGCCAGCATCGTGCCCTGTGCCCCATCTCCTACCACCTGCCGGAGGGCAGCAACCTCCTCACTGGTCTCCCCGCGGTTGATTCTCCCGCAGCAACCAGACAGATCAGACTGTGGGCCTCCTCTGCTCAAAATATCCCCGTGTCTCCCCATGTCACTTGGGGTAGATGCCAAAGTCCTCACAACTCCTGCAAGGCCTTTTGTGACCCGCGCCCCCACCTCCTAGCACTGCCCTCCCTCCCTCCTCCTCCTCCACTGCCTTCCAGCCCCTCCCCAGGCATGTCCCTGCCTCAGGGCCTTTGCATCTTCTCCCCCAAATATCCACATTGTCACCTCCCTCTAGTCTGCTCAGATGTCCCCTCCTCGGACCACCCTATTTGAAATGGCAATCCACCCCTTGCCATGCCCTATTGTTTCACTTTTCCACAATGCTAACACACTATATAATTCCTTATTATATTTATTGCCTATTGGCTATCTCTTTCTAGTAACAAAAGCTCTGTGAAGGCAGGATATTTGTCTTTGTTCACTTTGTATCCTCAGCGCCCCGAAAAGGACCTAGCAAACAGTAGGCAATCAAGAAATATTTGTGGATTTAATAAAACTACTTTAGGTTTGTTCTCTCTGCGGCTTATTCATAGCCAATGCAAACCCGCAAATGCTGAAGAAAAACGGGGGAAAAAGGAAAGATAGAAAATCACCCCAGGAGACCTTATGCTTGGGGTAGAGCCCGGCCCCTGCGGCTGACTTGCTGTGTGACAGGGGGCATGCCACAGCCCTCTCTGTGCCTCAGTCTCCCGTGCCCAGGATGACCGGATCTGGTGGTGAGGGCCTTCTCAAGTCTGGCAGTGGACAGCCCCCTCCCCCAGCTTCCATCCGAAGCTCAAACTAGTCCTAATCCTGTGACCAGCTGGAGAAAGTGGGTTTGTTAAGACCTGCTGTGTGGACGTGCTGGAGCGTCAGGTGGCCACATCATCTGCTGGCACAGAAGATGGGCTCCGAGCCTCAAGAAGGTGGTCTGGGGCCCGGATGCCAAATCTACCCGTTGTGGAGCCTTGTGAGTATTACTTGGCTTCTCTGTGCCTCAGTTTCTTCTGTAACATGGGAATCATAGTGACTGTGACCTCAGACAGCTGCCGCGAGGACCAGGTGGGGGAATAATGATAGCGTTTACCCCACAAGCCTGCCTCAGTGGGTCAGTCCACATGAGGGGCAGAGAGAGCTACCTGATGCACAGAAGAGACCCAAGAAGGTGAGCTGTCACATGGGTGGCCCAGCCTGGGGAGACCCGTCCCAAGCCAGCTTGGTCCTCGAGTGGGTAGCCCAGGGGTGACCTCCTAGCTACAATCTCCCAAGCTCCCTGCATTTCTTGCCTCTTCCTCTCTGATACCCATGTTGGATGGACCCAGGTGTTCACGGCCCCAGGCGCGCAGGGGGCTGTGACATGAGGACCCAGACCTGCACCCCCAGGCTTCCTGAGCCCCTGGCCCTTCCCAGGAGACTGACAGAGCCAGCCTGCCGTGACTCTGGCATTGACACTCACGAGGGTCGGAGGGGCAGCTCCTGGGCTGGGAGAGTGGAGAGAGTACCCGCCCCGGGAGCTGAGTGGGGAGGGGCTAAGCGGCCTGTAAACCACAGGTGCTGACTCATGGCTCTGCTGGGCCGTATAAAGGAACCAGCCAAGGGAATTCCTGCAACTGGAGGGACAGGCTGGCGGGACTATGGCCCAGGGCGCAGTGATCCATGTGGCCCCGGGGCAGTCCATCTATGCCGTGTGTGTGCTGGGCACCGAGACTCCGCTGGATGTCTACGGGTGAGCAGGGACATTCTGGGGGCGGGGGACAGGCCCACTGACGACACAGGACATGTGGTTGGCTCAGGCTTCGGGCTGCAGCCTCTGTAGCCGTTGCCCGGGGAGAAGCTGGAGGGGTTAGACCTGAGTGGTCCTGGGATGAGCCTGGACTCAAGGCGAGGGTTCCCCAGGGCCTCACCACAGATGAATTATCACAGGGCAGACAGGACCCTCTTCTTTCAGCACTGAGGCAATGGAGCTCAGAGAGGGTGTGTGACTTGCCCGAGGTCACACAGCAGGTGTGCCCTGGAAGGAAGGCTAGGCCCTAGACTTCATGACCCACACCTGGTTGCTGATGCAGTTTGTTACCTCCCCACCTCTCAGCCAAGCCTCCCTCCACGGGTGCATAATAACCCACGTGTGATGGGACAGGCTCTGGCGTGGGAGAGGCTGACGCGGGAAACCTGTCCCTGCTGTTGGCCATCTGCGGGGCCTTGGCCAACTGAGCCTCAGGTCCCTCATCTGTGAAATGGGGTAATACCCGCTCCATAGGGTGGTTGGAGGGATTAAACGTGAAAGACCATGGAAGTGTGTAATTACTTAGCACATAGCTGGACATATTGCTGGTGGTTATTCATCCATCCGTCCATCCATCCATCCAACAAATACCAACTGAACACCTACTATGTGCTGAGCCTGCACCAGGCTCTGGTTATACAAAATGGTCTAGCGACGCTCGGCAAGTGCACATGGTTAGTGTCATTGTCATCAGTAATAGTAGTGGCCCCCGGCTTCCTTCCTCCCAGGCTGGACATCTGTGGTCCTAGTATGGTGCCCACACGAGTGTCTGGGACATTTCTTTCAAAGTGTCACTGGCTGTCGGACCCTGGGCCATGGTAGAGTAGCAGTAAAAGTCTGGGGTGGGGGGCCGTCTGGAGCTGTGGAAGGGAGGCAGGAGACAGAGAGGTCGAGGGATGAAGGAGAGAGACAGGCCGATGTCATCTGAAGCCACCTGACTCTTCTGAGAGTGAGCTCCTCCTTCAGTGAGACATTCCACGCGCCGCCCACTTCCCACGACAACGGCTGATGTTTCCACCCCACTGCCTACACATAACTCATTCATCAGCCTTATGAGGCAGGCAGGGCTCTTCTTCCCATTTTACAGAAGGGATAGCTGAGGCTCTGCGAGGTCCAGTAAGCCCCAGACGCCACCACGGCTCGTAGGTGAGGGAGCCAGGATTCAAACGCAGGCAGCCTGGCTCTGGGACCCCGCCCCCGTGCTTCCTACCTGCTCTTAACAGCCCCCCGGCCTGCACTGTCATCCCACCTCCTGTGCAGCCACCAGCCTGACTGTGGCCTGAATTCTCTTGCGGAAACACGGATGGGGTTGGCACCACCTCCTCCACAGCGCTGCTCCCCTGACCTCCTCCCAGCACACACGTGTTCCACACCCCTGCCCCAGCCATGCCCTCTGCCACTGGGCTCAGAGCCCCCAGGAGTACAAAGGGCCATAGCGGCAGGAGCAGACCCAGGGGGGTGGGCACCACGTCCAGAGCTGCCCTTACAAACGCTGCTTGTGATTTTCATCCTGCATTTGGAAAGTTCTTTTCCTGTAATGGGAAGCACGTTGATTATATTCAGACAGAATCCCACTGACTTGAGATGAATATTGAAACCCATCGAGGGCTTTCTGTGATGCTTGTGGCTGGAGTCAGGGAGGTATCATGTCCCCGGCTACTGTGTGCCAGGTCCTCCTGTGATTTCTCGTGAACATCATGCCCATTTTAGAGATGAGTAAACTGAGGTTTCAGGGTCATGCAAATTCAAGGTGACAAAGCCAGGAAATTCAAACCCAGGACTGTCTGACCCCAAACTCACTTGCTTCCCTAGCACCCATGGCCTCTTGAGTGCTGTGGCGCTGGCCTCTCTGGGCACTGCTGCCCGGTTGGTGGAGCTCACACAGCTTCCAGAGGGCTCGGAAGGCCTGGAATGGGTGTGGGGGTCCGGAAGTTGCCAACCACGGAAGATGGCGGGCGTTCTGATGCTGCAGTCAGGGGGTTTGTCCTCTTCCTCCCAGTGTCTCCTTCTCAGCAGATGGCCACTCAGTGTGAAAGCAGGGAGCATGGGCAAGTCTCTGAGCCTCAGTTTACCCATCTGTAAAATGGGAACATTAACATGCACGCTGCTGGGGTGTGGTGAGGCTTAAACCACACATGGCCAGCTGAGTGTCCGCAGAGCAGTCCCCCTTCCCATAAGGATTGTGTGAGCCACTGAATGTGAGAGTTGCAGACGCTAGGTGCTATCCAGCCTGGGACCGTTGGGAAGGAAATGCTGAATTCAGGAGTTGGAGGGATGCGGTCACTTGTCCGGGGCTCAAGCTCTCAGTGCTGCCTCTGCAGAAATTACAGGAACATCAGCTCCGGATTGTCTTATAACAGCACGCATGGTTGCTCCCCCCATTCACAGTGAAAACCCCCTTCTGTTTATGAAAGTCCCTTGTTTAGGGACCTGAGAGGGCCTGGAAAACAGCCAAAGGAAAGAACATACATTCCAGGTCCAATCCCAGTGGCGCCACTTCCCAGCTGGGCCTCACTGCTCTGAGCCTCAGTTTCCCCCTCTGGCAGAGAGGGTGGTTATCAAGCCCTGGCAGGTGGCAGACCCGCCGGTCTGCACCCTTCTCCCCGCCCCTGGTGAGGAGGCCATGTGGGGCCGAGCGAGCTGAGTGAACAGGCCACAGGCCAGGCGCTGTGGCTGCCCCCACCTTGGTCCCCAGTCTCAGTCTTCCCATTGTTGATTGGGTCCCTTCTTCATTTTCCTGCTGTACCAAACACACAGCGTGTCCCTCTCTTGTCCCCTCCTCCTGCCATGGCACCTGGGCGGCTGGGGAGGCCTGGCTTCTCACCTCGGCTTTGTGGGCATGAACTTGAACAGCTGTGCACAGACTTTGGCAGAGAAACAAGGGCGTTTCCTACATTTCAGTCTGTCCAGGTCAGTGTGTAACCCGCAGAAAGGCCCCTGGTTCCAGTGTGGCGCCCCTCAGCCAGGAACTCTGGTCGGGCACAGGCTGAGTGCCCCGTCACTACTGAGTGGCCCCCAAACCTCACAACAACCTAGGAAGCGAGGAAACCTCATTTCCATGAGACCAGGCTTCCCTCATGACCCAAGTCATGTAGCCTGTCCGGAGTGGCCCAAGCTTGTCCACCACTCTCCAGCCCTCGGAGACGGACTGCTGCACCCCCCGTCCCCCGTCCCCCGGGCTGGCCTGGGACTTCCCGTGGGGCACCCCTGCTGGCCTGCAGGCAAGTGTCTGAGCACAGGCTGCTCCGGGGGCTGGAGCCAGAGGCCCGAGCCGTGGTTGGTATACCTGGCTGGCTGGTATAGACAGATAGGGCCCCTGCACTGGGCTGTGCGGTGCAGTGGGAGGGGTAGTTCAAGGACTCTGTCCACACTGACCCTGGCTATCTCCCCAGTCCAGAGAGTCAGTGCACCAAGGCCCAGGTCAGTGTCCCCCTAGGGAATGACAACCCAGCCATCCTGCTCCTGGCCCCCATTGTAGGCGGACCAGGCTGGGAGCACGTGGTAAAGCCAGTGCCTACACCAAGGGGTGGGGACAGGCAGGGACACCCATTAGTGGAGTTCAGTAGATGTGGATTGGTGCCCTTGTCAAGGAAGACTTGGGGGAGTCCGCAATGGGACCCCAGATCCTCCGGCTGAGGAAATCACCCTCCTCCTAGCCAGGAGCCCCTGGGACCCCAGAGCTTGCCCCCACCCCCACCACCCATTCCCCCAGCTGAAGGTCTGGCACACAGCGTGGCCACGCAGCCTGGGGCAGGTGTAGGGGTGCCATGAGGGGCTCAGTGTGCCTGCAGTGTGGGGAGAATGTAGGGGCGGGGCCGGTGTATGAAGGGTGCTGGCACCATGCCGACCGACCCTTCTCTGACAGAGCAGAGAAGTGCAATGCCTAAAGTGAGCTTGGGGAGGTGTCTTCAGCCCTCTGCCTCAGTTCCCTCACCTGTGAAATGGAGAGAAGCTCAGCACCTACCTGGCATGTTGATGGTGAAAACTGAATGAGCCGATGTATGGAAAGAATGCATATGGGGCCTGGAGCAGTGTGAATGCTCTATAAATGCTCGCCATTCCTGAAGGCTAAGAACTTGAGCTTGACTTTGTGTGGATGGCATGAGGGCCTGAGCTGGGGATGGGGGTGGGGTGGGGGTGGGTGTGGGCACCACATGAAAGGAAATTGGGAACAGAGACTAGGAGAGTGTTGGTTTCATCTACTTCTTGGTTCTTCAAAAAGGACTTAAAAAATTTGTCTCCTGAAGAAAAATAAAATGTAATATGGGGGCACTAACTGCTAGGATAAATAAGGCAGAAGAGAGAATCAGTGATATAGAAGACCAAATGATGGAAAATAAAGAAGCTGAGAAAAA